AGGAAATGAAAAGCTGCTGGAATGATTGCTTCTGATGAAATTTTGGTTTTAAATAAATTCTATTCCCTTCGTGGTAGCATGTGTTTGTGCATTTGTTTGTAACATTTGAGAATACTCTTTTGAATATTTATGTCCCCTTCATGGAATCGAAATAGTAGCACAAATCTTTAACAAACGCATCAATTGCTTTGTAATACACACTCGGAATCCTTGGAAGGTGTGAGTCGATGGAAAATTTAAAACACATTTTTTGCAAAATAACTTTTTTTATTTATGCCGGTTATACAGCAGATGAGCGACGAATTTCATATATTTTAGAATTTTGCTAATATTTTTCAATTTAGTAGAACCTATCGATTTGAAATCAGAAGTAAATAAAATTGTTTAGACACCATTTTCAATGCAATTCGTTGCAGTATAGCAAAGTTCCATAGCGTTGGAAACTTTTGTATATTTAGCTGTCAGTATTCCTATTGTGGAGGGTATAACACAAATCGAACAATCAAAAAGAAAACATGGAAGTCGTATTTTTATTCAACCGGTGGATTCAGAATCGTGTCTTTCTGTCCAAATCCCAAATTTTTTCGTCATCCGTTTTTATTCCTTTCACCACACTGTGGTACATGTCTTTGTGCATATATTTGTAGCAAGCAAAAGGAAACGATATTGACCCATGGTTCCTTTTGAGAACAAGTTTAGAATTACTTTCTGAGTCGATTTCTACATGTCCGCCGACGTCGAAATTGGGAAAAATCGGTTCAGATATAGCTTCCATATATAGTTTCATCCGATCTTAAGTAAATGATACGGCAAAGATCAAAGCAAGGTCGATTGGACCAAGATTTTCCACTACGTATTGAAGTTAGTATAATCTAACGTGTGCAAATCAAATCCCATTTATATTTTCACCCGATTTCAAGTAAATGGTTTACCAAAGACCTACACTATGCCTTATGACCTCAAAATTTTGCAAAACGTATTGGTATAAGTATATCCTAAGGTATAAAAAGTTTCGTTGTAATCGGTTCAGATTCAGGTATATCTCCTATGAATATTTCCGTACGATTTTTATACCCTTCGTCTCACTAAGGTATAGGATTTTATGTATTTGTGCATATGTTTTTAGGAAAACAGGAAAAGAGACAGATCCGTGTTTACTGTTGAGAAAGTGCATAGAATCACTTTCTGACTCGAATTATGCATGTCCGTCGGTCTGTATCTTTGTCCATTATCCATTGTAAACAGAATAGAGCCCAAAAACGAACCCAATTGAACCCAATTATGTTTATACAGACGTGTGTTATGTTTCGTGAAAATCGCATCAGACTTAGATATATATTTTTCCAGTTTTATGTAAATTGTGAACCAAAGCAAATATATTTCTTTCGATTTACGCGAAATTCTGCATAGTATATAAGATTAAGTTTAGAATGATGTGTACAAAGTTTCGTTGAAATCCGTTCAGATTTAGATATAGCCCTCATATATATATATATATATTTCTCCGATTTAAAATAAATGATGCTTAAATGATCCAAAGTTAGATCGATTGATACAACGTACTGAAGTTAGCATATCCTATGGTGTGGCAAGTTTCGTGAAAATCAATTGAAATTTAAATATGGCTTTTCTATATATTTGCGTCGGATTTATGTTATAAGTCAAACTCCTCATATTTATTCTAATGAAACAAAATTTTTCATATGTTGCAGAATAAAATGTGTATGGATTTATTAAAGTCAGTTCAATTCCATGTCATGCGCAAGTCGTCTCGTAGACTCGAACCAACTGTGCAACTTGAGAACTACAGCTCGAGGTAGTCGAAGATTTTATATATCTCGATACCGCCATAAACAAAACTATTAACATCAGAGGAGGAGAATAATGTTAGCCAACAGATGCTACTGTGGTCTAAGTAAGCAATTCAGAAACAAGGGCACCTCTCGCCAGACCAAATTCACGCTCTACAATAAACTGATACTACCCGTGTTGTTGTATGGGTCTGAAGCATGGGTACTTGCGCAAGCAGCTCTTAGAGAGTTTGAGAGAAAAAATCAGGAAGATCTATGTACCAATCTGCGTCGACGGTAAATATCGCCGTAGAGTGAACCATGAGATTTATCATCTATTTTCGGATATCGACATAGTCAAACGTATCGAGCTGCACCGACTACGTTGGCTAAGCCATTTTGTAAGAATGGGTCAAGATGCTCCTGCCCAAAAGGCATATAAAAGTAACCTGTTGATGGTTCACGCAGAAGGCGAAGGCCACGAATCCGATGGAAAGATCAAGTGGAAGACAACATTGCCGAACATGGTTTTTCAAATTGAAAGAACTGCGCAAAAGACCGACATGCCTGGAAATCTTTTTTTAAGCACGACTTATGGATCAAATATTCTGTCACGAGCCTGCTATGTAAGTAAGTATTATCGCAGGTTCCATTTGTTTAATTGACAGCCATTTCATGTTAATATTTTCACACATGTCAATGTTGTATCACATTTTTATACCCTTCACCACACTATTGTACAGGGTATTATGGCTTTGTGCATATGTTTGTAACAGGCAAAAGGAATCGATATAGACCCATGGTTCCTTTTGAGAATATGCATAGAATCACTTTCTAAGTCGATTTACGCATGTCCGTCTGTCCGTCCGTCCGTCGGTCTGTCCATGTTAAATTGTAAACAAAGTACAGGTCGCATTTATTATTCGAATTGGATGAAATTTGGCACAGCTCATTCATTTGGCCCAAGGACGAGCCCTATTGAAATAGGGAAAAATCGGTTCAGATTTAGATATAGCTCCCATATATATTATCGTCCGATTTAAGGTAAATGGTGCAACAAAGTCCCTAAATAGCTTTCGATTTGCACGAAATTTTGCACAGCGTACTGAATTGAGCCCAGAGTGATGTCTGCCAAGTTTCGAGAAAATCGGTCCAGATTTAGATATAGTCCCCATATATATTTTCGTCCGATTTAAGGTAAATGGTGCACCAAAGTCCCTAAATAGCTTTCGATTTGCACGAAATTTTGCACAGTGTACTGAATTGAGCCTAGAATGATGTCTGCCAAGTTTCGTGAAAATCGGTCCAGATTTAGATATAGCTCCATATATAGTTTCGTCCGATTTCATGTAAATGGTGCACCAAAGTCCCTATATATCTTTCGATTTGCATCAAATTTGGCATAACGTACTGAATTCAGCCTAGAGTGATGTCTGCCAAGTTTCATGAAAATCGGTCCAGATTTAGATATAGCTCCCATATATATTTTCGTCCAATTTAATGTAAATGGTGCTCCAAAGTCCCTATATATCTTTCGATTTTCACGAAATTTGGCATAACGTACTGAATTGAGCGTAGAGTGATGTCTGTCATGTTTCGTGAAGATCGGTCCAGATTGCAATATTGCTCCCATATATATTTTCGTCCGATTTAATGTAAATGGTGCACCATAGTCCACATATACCTTTAGATTTGCATGAAATATGGCATGACGTACTAAATTGAGCCTAGAGTGATGTCTGCCAAGTTTCGTGAAAATCGGTCCAGATTTAGATATAGCTCCCATATATAGTTTCGTCCGATTTAATGTAAATGGTGCACCAAGGTCCACATATATCATTCGATTTGCAGGAAATTTGTCATAGCTTACTGAGTTGATGCTGGAATTATGTGTGCTGAGTTTCGTGAAAATTGGGTCAGATCTAGATATATATATCTTTGTCTTGATGTGATTTGTAAACCTTGACCCATAGTAATATAAAATTTTACTGCGTAAAGCTCAAAGTCCCCAGATTTGAGATACATATATACATTTTTTCCGCTCTAACTGAAATGGAGAGGAGTTAGAGCTAAAGTTTTATAACTTAGCCATCACAATGTTTTTTGGCAAATATATAAATGATAGTGGGATCTATATCTTATAAGTGGTGAGAGGGTCAATCTCACATCTATCAAGCAGTTGATGTCTCCTTGAATGAAATCTGTTGTTCGAATCGAAAAGAATTGGAGGTTAATAGCACCAGAAGCCAGAGAATACCCCCCTCTTCACTAAAGCCTATAATTGGGTTGCTAAGGCATTTCCCAGATTTCCGTGTAGCTCACTTTAATTCAATTTTGTATTTATCAAAATGGTATTATTCCTTGGTACACCAGTACATCACATCCTCTTTTGTTTACTTTCCTCATTTCGAACACGCAGCAAAATATCTGCTGAGTCAGAACCTGGATACAACAAGTGACTTGTTTTGTCCGAATTCCAGTAACTACTCTTCAGTTGCTGCTTTACAGATTTATCTGTACTATTTTTAGTCGCTTCTGTATTTATCTGATTTTCGTTTGGAGGGAGACAAACACGAATCTGTCCCAATCCAAAAATAAAAGCACTCCAGATACTCCTTAGGTATTCCTCCCTCTAGTCCACCATATTTCTGGAAGAGGTTTAGCTTGCAGTTTATATGTAACTCGTCTGATTCTATGCAAATGATTCAGCAGGTAGGTAACATATTTTTGATTGAAACTAAGTTTCTCACGGTTTACTGAAATGAGATTAGAATTCCGAGTCTATAACGGGCACCTCAGAAAAAGATTTTTTGGTATTTGTCATGTTATATAACTGCATCGCCCCATCTTCCATATTAAAGAAATAAGCATTTCCTTATCCCATCCATATTACGTCTACATTCTAACAAAAAATTCTCTCTTTTTGGCAAAAGATTAGAATATTTTTTTATTATTGTTACAAAAATTCTCTGCATTTTATTATGCCAAAATTGGACGATAAATCATTGCGGTCAATATCTATGTTGGCCAACGTGTAAGGCGCGATTTCAAAGATAATCTGCAACGAAACAGCGATATCCCATATCGCAAAAGGGTACAACAAAAACAAAAAACAGAAACAAAAAACTAAAATACATACATTACTATTTTTAAATAAATCATAAATCTCGTTAACGATTTGCAAAATTTGAATTGTTATTAAATGCCTAGCATGGATTACGATTACGATAGCCAACAAGTGCATTTATGGCAATCAAATGTTCAAAATCTAACCAAATCTTCTGACCAAATGACCGTATATGACGACAAAGACAACAACAATAACAACATCAGCGACCACAACGACGATATCTATCCTCAAACGACAAACATTAGGTGTGCTTTGAATGGTGGTTGCGCATTGCCTGATTATATGTTAATGGTCATTTAATAATGGGTTTTATGTAAAATATTATAAAATGTAATGGGAATTTATTGGAATGATGGGAATTAAGGCGATATGTTGGCTATATATATATTAATTTTAAGCGGTCATTGTAGATAACCTGATGATTGCATATATAAGGGTAACAATCAAAGTCAAGATATTGGCCTGAGACTAATCCGTGAATGTTCACAATTTCCCACAAATGTCCGGGAACATAGAAAAAAATAACGGAACCACACGCAAGATCTGGAGTTTTGAAAATTATTATGTTCTTAAAATAAGTTTATTTTTATACCCCCACCACACTGTAGTACAAGGTATAAGTCTTTGTGCATATGTTTGTAACAAGCAAAAGGAAACAAGATAGACACATGGTTCCTTTCGAGAATATGCATAGAATCACTTTCTGAGTCGATTTATGCGTGTCCGTCCATCTGTCTGTCCATGTAAAATAGTAAATAAAGCGTAGGTCGCATTTATGATCGCAATTGGATGAAATTTGGCATAGCTTATTTGACCTAAGGATTGAATGGATGATTCAAATTGGGAAAAATCGGTTCAGATTTAGAAATAACTCACATATATAGTCTCGTCCGATTTTAAGTAAATGGTATCCAAAATTGGATAGGGTGTATATTGTTTTGTCCGAACACAGAATATTTCACTCAAGTCACAATATATGGCCGATTGAGACAAATTTTTCTACAGCGCAATACATATTAACGTATGTGAAGCTTTGTATAAATATATATATATATATATATTTTCGTCCGATTTTATGTAAATTGTGTACCAAACTCGCAAGATTATCGTACATATCGTATTGAATTTAGTTTGTAATAACTAGCGCTAAATTTTTTAGAAATCGGTTAAGATTTAGTTATAGCTTCCGCATATATTTCCGTTCGACTTTATATAAATGGTGCACCAAACTCCCAAAGATTGTCCGATTGAGTGGAAATTTAGCATATTGCATTAAATTGTGTCTTGAATAACTTACGTTGAGTTTTGTAGAAATTAGTTCAAATTTGGATATAGTTCCGATATATATTTTCGTTCGATTTTATATAAATGGTGCACCAAACTGTCAATATTTTTCCGATTGAAATAAAATTTTGCACAGCGTACTGAACTAAGATCAGATTGACGTATATGAAGGTTTATTGATATCGGTTAAGATTTAGATATAGCTCCCATATATATACTTGCCCGATTTTATGTAAATGGTAAGCCAAACTCCCAAAAATTGTCCGATTGAGATTAAATTTTGCATATTGCATTAAATTGAGTCTAGAATAACGTGTGTTAAGTTCTGTAGAAATCGGTTCAAATTTAGATATAGCTCCCATATATATTTTGGTCCGATTTTATGTAAATGATGCACCAAACTCCTAATGTTGGTCTAATGGACACAAAATTTTGGATACCGTTTTGAATGGAGCCTACAATGCTGTGTGTTAAGTTTTGTAATCGGTTCAGATTAAGATACAGCTCCCATACATATTTTCATCCGATTTTACGTAACACAATAACGTGTTTTAAGTTTTGTAATCGGTTCAGATTAAGATACAACTCCCATATATATTTTCATCCGATTTTACGTCTTGAGTTGAGTCCAAAAAATATAGTGAAGTTTCAATGGAATCGGATCTGATGTAGATATAGCACCAATGCATATTTTCGTCCGATTTTATGGAAATGATGACCAAAACTCCCAAGGATTGTCCGATTGAGACAAAATTTTGCATGACCTAATTGGTTTTGTTGAGACCTATTCGGATTTAGATATAGTTTCAATTCATAATTGCGTCCAAATGGTGCACCAAATACCCAAAGTATGTCCGATTGCGATGCAATTTTATACAACGTAGTTAATTAAGTCTACAATTAGGTGTATTAAATTTCGTTTAATTCGGTTCAGACATAGAAGTAGCTCCTATATATGTCCGTCTGATTTCAGGAAAATACCGAACGTTTGTTCTAATCAGATAAAATTTTTGGCTACACGCTTTGCTGTAAAAGTTATTTCAAATCGGTACAGATTTACGCACCGCTCTCGTACATAGTTTAGGTAAATTGAATGCAAATGGTACATCGTAGACCCCAAGTCTGCACGATTGACATGAAATTTTGTGTTGATTTCAATTAGTATATCTACATCTATCTATCTATCTATTGAGGTCACATATTTAATTGAGTCCGATTTCATGTCGATGGCCTCTAAAGATTCTTTGTCTGTTCTATGGACAGGATATTGCACGTATGGGCATCATATAGTCGGCTCTGTCCGCCTTTCGAACTTTCCTTACTGGTTTTTCATTGTTATGAAATTTTGCAAACCGAGCTGGGTTGCAGCATACCGAATGACATGTGCACGTTGTTTTAATCGATCCATATTTACATATAACTCGCATATAAAATTGGGTCCAATAAGTCTGCCAAATTTTTCACGAAACATGACAGACATCACTCTACGATCAATTCAGTACGTTATGCCAAATTTCGTCCCAATCGAAAGATATATAGGGACTTTAGTGCACCATTTACATGAAATCGGACGAAACTATACATGCTAGCTATATCTAAATCTCGGCCGATTTTCACGAAACTTGGCAGACATCATTCTAGGCTCAATTAAGTACGTTGAACCCAATTTCGTGCAAATCGACAGATATATAGGGTCTTTAGTGCACCATTTACCTTAAATCGGACAAAACTATATATGGGAGCTATATCTAAATCTGGACCGATTTTCTCCAAACTTGGCAGACATCACTCTAGGCTCAATTCAATACGTTATGCCAAATTTCGTGCAAATCGAAAGATATTTAAGAACTTTGGTGCACCATTTACTTTAAATCGGACGAAAATATATATGGGAGCTATATCTAAATCTGGACCGATTTTCACAAAACATGACAGACATCAGTCTACGCTCAATTCAGTACGTTATGCCAAATTTGCTATATCTAAATCTGAACCGATTTTTCCCAATGTCAATAGGGTTCGTCCTTGTGCCAACCGAATGAGCTGCGCCAAATTTCAACCAATTCGAATAATAAATGCGACCTGTGCTTTGTTTACAATTTAACATGGACAGACGGGCGGACGGACAGATGGAAAGTGCTTTTATGCATATTCTCAAAAGGAACCATGGGTCTATCTCGATTCCTTTTGCCTGTTACAAACATATGCACAAAGAAGTAATACCCTGTACCACAGTGTGGTGAAGGGTATAAAAATCAGTTATTCTTTATATATTTAAATTGTGAATACTATTCTGAAACCATTGGATTCTTAGGCTCGGTTTTTGAAAATCGGACCGTGACTCTGTCGGTTGTGATTTGTTTTTAATTCAAGCAATTGGTTTGTTTTTAATAGCTGGTAACAATTGTAGAAGTCGCATTCGGCTGTAGCAGTGGGCTCGGCTTGTTGGGGTGTTTGTAGGTGCCTTGGGTTATAGTACCCTGCTCGGGTGATAGTAGTCAGCTCGTGGTGTAGTAGACCGATTATTAAATTTAAAAGAATTCCTAATTGTTTGCAAAAAAATGTCAATACAGATTTAATATTTTGGAATTGACCAGTTTTATACCCTCCACCATAAGGTGAAGTGGTTCCTTGGGAAATATATATTCTTCATTCCGTATCCGTCGAAACCACTATAGTAACGCCAAGTTTAAATTAGGTGTTTGCAATTTTGATGTAACTCCCATATAACGCTGCCGCTTAATAATTTAGTTCGCGTTGTATATCTGATTAAACAACCGATTGTCATTAAAACTCTTGGACGCCATTAGGTCTATTGAACACCCTTTAATTGTTTAATGTTTTTTTTTTCGCAAAGATTTCGGCTAGTTTCTTCAACGGCCAAACGACTATTTTTGGTCATTTGGCTCATTTGAAATTCATATTGTATTGGAAACATGTAAATATTATTGCAGGTTTTTTTATTTTTGTTTAAAACAAAACAAATCTGAAGGTAGTAAATGTTACTGTTAACTGTTGTTACTGTAACCAGGAAATGTACCTTGGCAAAAATAACAAAACCAACCAGAAAAAAAAAATAATTCAACAAGGAGAACAACCCAAAGCAAAAAATAACAGCAACAGATTATATGGCAATAATTGAATGTAATTTGATTAAGAAATCATTCACGTGTGTCATATAAATCATATTTTATGCAAATATTTCGGTAGGTTTTTTATTTTAATTTTTTCGTTTGTTGTTATTTTGTTTTACGAAATTTGTTTTTGTTTGCAGAATCCTTTCCAATGGTTTTGGATTGCGCTTTGCTTTGTTTGCCGTCGTAACAGCACCACCACAAATATTGGAATTACAAAACAGCGGAACTTTATTACCATAAATAATCGTCAGTGGTTTATTCCGATAGTTTAGTTTGTTTGTTGTTATTATAAATTCAAAATACTTAGTTTTAATGACAGATTAACAATGACAACAACAACAAATATCAACAACAATAGAATAATCTCTTTGTTGCCTAGACTGTTATTAATTTCAAATTTTATGCCTTAAACCGACAAAACTTCAAAAGCCATTGAGCCGCCACCGCCAATATTCCGGCCAGGTTTAATCATTTGTTTCGTCGTCCGCTGCCATTTGAGATGAAAAAATGAAAACAAACAAAGACGACAAGTGACACTCCTCAAAAGTGAAGTGAAACACCAACACATCGTTGGCGGTGTGGTGGTGCTTATGTTGCTGACTGACATACTGAAGTTCACTTGTATTGGCGTGCATAATTCTAACGATCATCGAGCTATCTATGAATGAATGAATGTCGTTGAATATGCAAAATGTCACAAAGACGACCATAAGACTTGAAAAAAAAACGAAATTTGCACTGAACATATTGATTCGTTATGGCCTGAAAGAGTTGGGATTGTGTTATTCATTGAATATATTTATCGTTCAATAAAAAAATGTGTCCTCTGTACAGGGTTGCCGTGTTAGGGCTTTTCGTTCTGTAGTGAAATGAACAAAT